TGCGCCGTGTGCTCTCCACAGGGTATGGTGCGGGGGGGGGGGGGGAAGGGGGGCGCAGGCAGAGAACTCTTGCCAGAGGTGCCCTTTGCGGGGTGGGTCTTCCTCCCCGCGGGAAAGGGACTGACCGGGCCTTCCTTTGCTCCACAGCAGTCGGATGAGGAGTGCGTCCTCGACCTGGAGCTGATCACAGACCTGGTGATTCAGATTGATGCCCACGGAGACCCAGGTGGGGCTTCACTTGGCCCGGGGGGCTCCTGTTCCTCGGGGCACGGCGACAATAGCCTCTTGCTCTGCATGATTACATGGGGTTGGGGGGCTGACAAGGCCCTGACTCAATGGTGTGGGGAGGGGAGAAGACCTTGGACAGTAGCCCCCCAGTTGCAGAGCACGGGAATTTGAGTCCTCGTGCTCCCTGCCTCCCTCCCTACCCCCAGTGGCTCTTCTCTGCCTTGACCCACCTGGATCTTGGGCACCGTCTAGTTTCTAGACATAGTCTTCCCTCCAAGCTGAGTTAGTGTGAGCCGGCTCACAGTTCTTTAGCCTCCGGCTCACACATTTTTGTCTTCGCTCAGGAAGGAGGGCTCCAGAGCACACTACTGTATGCAGCAGCCAAATGGCTCGCTCACAGCTTTAATGCCAGTAGCTCAAAAAGTAGAATTCTTGCTCACAAGACTCCACAGCTTAGAGGGAACATTAGCCCAGGTGCCACCTGGAGCTGCCCCCTTGCCAACCGTGCCTGTCCTTCCTTCCTCATGCCAGGTGGGATCCTCTGCTTCTTGCCCGGCTGGCAGATCTCTCTCTTGCTCAGTCTCTGCCAGTTCAGACCCCATCAATGTGTATTTATATTTAGGATTTTTGGCTCCAATGTGCATCACCTTGCACTTGGCCACATTGAACCCCATTTGCCATGTTGACGCCCACTTGCCCATCTTTGACAGATCCCTTTGGAGTGCCTCACAATCCTCACTGGTTTTCACCACCTTGAACAACTTTGTATCATCCGCAAATTTAGCCACTTCACTGCTTACTCCCATCTCCAAATCATTAATGAACAAGTTAAAAAGCAGTGGACCAAGTACTGATCCCTGTGGTACCCCACTGCTTACCACCCTCCACTGAGAAAATTGCCCACCTACACTCACTCTCTGTTTTCTATGAACTAGCCAGTTTTTGATCCATAAAAGGACTTGTCCTTTTATCCCATGATTTTTGAGCTTGCTTAGGAGCCTTTGATGAGGAACTTTATCAAAAGCTTTCTGGAAGTCAAGGTAAATAATATCTATTGGATCCCCCTTGTCCACATGTTTGTTCACCCCCTCAAAGAACATTAACAGGTTAGTGAGACAAGATCTTCCCTTACAGAACCCATGTTGAGTCTGCCTCAATAGGTTTTGTTCATCTATGTGCCTACTAATTCTTTCCTTAATAATGGTTTCCACCAATTTACCCGGTATCGACGTCAGACTGACTGGCCTGTAATTTCCCGGATCTCCTCTGGAACCCTTTTTAAAGATGGGAGTGACATTAGCTACCTTCCAATCCTCAGGAATGGAGGCAGATTTTAAGGAAAGATTACATATCTTTGTCAGGAGATCCTCTGCCTCCTTCCCCTGGGTGGAAGAGCCTGGGGGAGGTCCAAGGAGGCTGCCCGTGGCTGGCTCCTGGGACTCGGGACCTGGGGATTTACTTGCCGCCAGCTGCTTTGGGAGCCGCCTGTGGCTGAAGAGTGGGCTGCAGATATCACGCCTTGTGATGTACCTTTGGGGGGGAAGGGGGGGTCATAACTGTCCTCTCCCTCATCGTCTCTTCTCCCCTCTCCCCCCCAAGTTCATTCCAACATCCCCATGATGGACCAGCAGAGCATCTTCCCGCGGCCCCCTCCCGGCGTGCGGAAGATCGTCCTGGCAACCAACATCGCCGAGACCTCCATCACGATCAACGACATCGTGCACGTGGTGGACAGCGGGACCCACAAGGAGGAGCGCTACGACCTCAAGACCAAGGTGCGCCTGCTCCCCTGGCTCGGCCTCCGCCTGGGCTTCTCCCCCTGGGGCCCTTTCCCTCCTCTGCCAGTGCACCTCCAGGCCCTTGAGCAAAACATATGCTTGGTCTGGGCCCGTCCTAGATCCATCTTTTAAATGGTTCGTGCACAGTTGGTTTTGAAGGATATCTGTTGAAACCAATGTAAAGGGGTTTTTTTTGGGGGGGGGGTGTCTTAGTGATTGAGGAGTAGGGTTTGAGGTGTTGCCCACCTCCTGGTCCTCCCTTGAGTCCTCTATTCCAGTGTTCTGGGACTCCTTTCCCTGGCAGTTGAGAAGACGTTTCAGTCCCGGGGTGTCTGTAAAGCCGTGTCTCCAGGGCCTTTTGCGTCCTCCAAGGGGGCTGCATAAAATCCACGGCCTCTGCAGAGGGGGGGGGCCTCTCTCTCCCTCTGTCCTGGAAAGACCTGCTGATGGAGCCGCCGTCTGGGGGTGCGATTCTGCAGAGGGCTCTTGGTCACCGGCGGTGGGTTGGGTCGGAAGAGGCTCTGACCCGAGCACGTGCGGGCCTGGCGTGGGAGTGTCACGTCCCTCTTCTCCCAGGTGTCGTGCCTGGAGACCGTGTGGGTGTCGAAGTCCAACGTGATCCAGAGGCGGGGGCGTGCCGGCCGCTGCCAGTCGGGCTTTGCCTACCACCTCTTCCCTCGCAGCCGCCTGGACAGGATGCCCACCTTCCAAGTGCCTGAAATCCTCCGCACCCCTCTGGAGAACCTGGTCGTGCAGGCCAAGCTCCATCTGCCGGAGAAGACGGTAAGCGGGGGCCCCGCCTGGGCAGCTCCTGGGCCCTGTCTGGTGCTGGGCCTTGGGCTCTTTCTCGCCTTGCCCAGGCCTGAGGGGAGGGCCCGGCTCCGACAGGGTCAGCGCCTGCCGGCCAAAGATCTGCCGCTCACTGCATCAGAGTGGAGAGGTTTTGGTCCAGACGAGAGCTTAAACTTGTCTGTGTATGCACATTCAGAACCATAGCTGGAAACTTCCCAGAGCCGGTTTGGTGTGGTGGTGAAGTGCGCGGACTCTAATCTGGGAGAACCGGGTTCGATTCCCCACTCCTCCTCCACTTGCACCTGGCTGGATGACCTTGGGCAAGCCGTAGTTCTGACACAGCTGTCCGTGAAAAAGAGCAAAAATAGACTTAAAGGAGTCCTCCCTCTTAAAACTTTGATATGATTAAGGAGGACTGATATTAATAAAGAGATTGTGCAATATCTTTTGTGATATATTGAGAGACGATACTTAGATGTTTTGATATATGATTCTTTCTGTGTATTAAGGCTTATATGATTAATATATGGTGAATAAATTGTAAAAATATAAAACAAAAAATATATAACATTATTTGAGATATTTTATAATCATCTGTAGCACGGTATTTGCTGATTTTTGGTATTTCCTACTTACCGTGGGTCCTATTTTGGTTTTGTGAATTGCTGGATGACCTTGGGCAAACTGTAGTTCTGATATCCTCCACTCGCAGCTGCTGGATGACCTTTTGCAAGCCATATTTCTGTCAGATCTGTTCTCTCAAGGGCAGTCCTTAAAAGAGCTCTCTCAGCCCTGCCTACCTCACAGGGTGTCTGTTGTGGGGAGAGGAAGGGGAAGAAGCTTGTAAGCCGCTCTGAGACTTCTAGTGAAAAGGCGGGGTATAAATCCAATCCCTTCTTCTTCTACTTCTGCGTCTCCTCCTCACATTTCATATGTGCTTTGGTCACAGGCTGTTGAATTCCTCTCCAAAGCCTTGGATAGTCCAGACATCAAAGCTGTGGATGAAGCCGTGATCCTTTTGCAGGAGATTGGTAAGTTCCTGGAGGCTGAAGGGGGTGGGGCGCCCTTTCCCATCTCAAAGGCCTGTTCCCCCTTTTGAGAACCGGAGACAAGCCAATGTTGGATCAGGCCAGTGGTCCATCCAGTCCGGCAGTCTGTGTCACACAGTGGCCAAAAATACCAGGTGCCATCAGGAGGTCCAGCAGTGCGGCCAGGACACTAGAAGCCCTCCCACTGCTGCCCCCACACACACACACCAAGAATACAGAGCATTACTGGCCCCAGACTGAGAGTTCATAT